TTGTGTCACACAGGCCACATCTACACAAGATGGTTTACTGTGCAGTAGACCAATTTACTGTGCAGTAAGCATCACCGTTTACATGTGCAGATGCTTACTGCACAGTAAATTGGACTACTCTGCAGTTACTGTACAGTAACGCACATGTAGACAACCAAATGGAAGAAAATTTGCTTCAAGTCAGCTGGGCAGCAGGGAGTGGGAGATTACTCCCTGCCCCCAGCAGCTGGATGCTGCTGAGGTGGGCTGCAAGCATAGTGCCTGGCTAGGACAATGTCTCCCTTACTCCAGAAGCAAGCAGCTCCAGGGGGCAGGGAGCAAGATCCCCAGCCAGACTTCACGCTTGGAGCCTGTTCCAGCAGCAGCCAGCTCCCAGGGACAGGGAGCAATCTCCAATCCCTCACTGTGATCATGGAGCTGGGGCCAGGAGCTCCTTGCAGGGGGAGAGTTCCCCACCCAACCTGAAGCTGGCTGGGACCTGTCCCAGACCGGAACAGTTCCTGGCCAGCCCTGGGGTGCATACAGAAATTTGCATGTGCAGTCCAGAGCTGGCTGGGAACTGTCCCATTTCAGGGCAGGTTCCAGCCAGCTCCAGGCTGCACTTGCAGACTTCCCCATGCAGTCTGGGGCCGGGTAGGAACTGTCCTGGCATGGGCCACATCCCAGTCTCACAGCTCTTTCCCAGCCCATGCCCTGATCAGATGATTGAGGCATGGGGCTTGGAAAGAGCTGTGGGGGAGGGGCAGGTCTCAGCCCTCTGCCCCATTTGGCCAGTGGTACAGCTCCCAGCTGTCCCCAGCTGAGCGGGGATTCCCTGCCCAGCCAGGGGCTTACTGCTAGCTGCCCCGCTAGTGGATTGGGACAGGGGGCTGATATCTGCCCTTCCCCTGCAGCTCTTTCCCAGCCCTGTGTCCTGATCAGCTGCAGGGGAGGGGCAAAGCTCCCCCACCATGTATGAACATCAGGACCACTCCTGATGTGTATGGAGCCAGGGGACAGCTGTCTCCTGGCCCCATGCTCCCTGCCAGACTCTGGGCTAGAGCCCAGGGGGAGCCTGGAGCTCCCCCTGGCTGCTGCAGGGAGGCAAAGCAGGTGGGAGCAGCTCTTTTTTGGTTGCTCCCACTGGAAGCAAATCTGGTCCCAAAGGGAGCATGTGTAGATCTACACCCCACTATGCTTACAGCACAGTATTTTTACTGCACAGTAAGCCTACTTTGAATTAATTGCATGTGTAGACATGCCCACAAATTAGTAGTATGGGTCTTTCTGGTGAGCCCTGTCAGTGCCTCTCCACTGTTGTTCAAAGTACCACCCTTCAGGAAGTTTCATAGATTCATAGATGTTAGGGTCGGAAGGGACCTCAATAGATCATCGAGTCC